TATGGAGCTTAATGTAGAGAAAGATGCGAGGGTCAAAGCTGAAGCTGCCCTTCAAGAAGAATGAGTTAGGGCTGAAGGAATTAAATCTCAAGTGAAAAGATTTACTAGAGAGATAGCACTGGCTAAGTCATCAACTGTTGATGAGTACAAGGCTTCCCATAGTTTCAAAGTGGCCCAAGCTAGGATGTATATCGACGGTTTTGAAGCTTTTCGAGCTCAGGCCATTGCTGATTTTCTGAGACTAAACTTTTCTTCAATTCAATTGGAGAGTGATAACAAGGTTGATGACTAGCTCAATCTCTTCAGTTCAGTTAGAGAGTGATAGCGAGGTTGATGACTAGCTCAATCTCCTATCTCTTTTCCTTTTAGTTTAAGACTTCTCATTTTATTGAGTATTGTTTAGTTGGGTTTTGTCGTTCTTCTAATAGTAGAAATGCACTTCTTTTATCATAAAATGGTGTTGTTTGAACTTTCGTGCTTTGCCCCTTAACTTTTAATATTGAAGTAGACATCATATACTCACACAGACACACACATATATATAGAATAAATTTTACGAGCTTCACCCAGCTCGCCCTTTAATAAGGGAATGAGTTTTACGAGCTTCACTCAGCTTGCCCTTTAATAAGGGAATGAGTTTTACGAGCTTCACTCAGCTCGCCCTTTAATAAGGGGGTAGAGTAGCCTGACTTCACCTTTTATCAAACATTTTGTGCTCATTTTATTGATGTATTATCAATAGTAAAAGAGTCTAAAAAATGAATGAGATCATAATAAAAACCATTATATTAAATAACCCCATTAGAAGAAGACATGATATCCCTTTTTATTGGAAAGTGAAATTATTCAGAGAGAACATAACATTTCTAGAAGATAAAGCTATGCTATCAAGCTAGCTCTTCTTATTATTAATAAATAAATAAAATCAGCCACACAAATCTTTTATTGGTAGTACCTCCTTAAATGTTCAGCATTCCAAAGGTGCTCCATCTGATGCCCTCCCAAAGTTTCAAGCCAGTATGCCCCCAGTCTGTTGGTGCTAATAACCTTGTAAGGTCCTTCCCAATTAGCGGACAACTTCCCTTCCCCTCTGGTTTTAGTTCCTGGGGTGACTTTGCAAAGTACCAAGTCTCCAAGTTGAAATCTTCTTGGCTTGACCTTGGCATTATAGTATCTAGACACCATTTGTTGATAAGCTGCCATTCGAATCTGAGCTAGTTCCCTTCTTTCCTCAATTAGGTCTAAGCTCAATAGTAATTCTCTCTCATTTGCTCTTGGCTCGTAATGCTCAGTCTTGAAACTGGTTACACCGACTTCAGCAGGAACAACTATTTTACTTCCAAAGGTCAATAGGAATTATGTTTCCCCTGTGGGGGTTCTTGCAGTTGTACGGTAAGCCCACAACACATTGGGCAATTCTTCAAGCCATGTTCCCTTCTTATCCTTAAGCTTCTTCTTTATCATTTGAAGTATTGATCTGTTCGCCACCTCAGCCTGTCCATTTGCTTGAGGATGTCCAGGTGATGAGTAGTGGTTCTTTATCCCTTGTTGAGCACAAAAATCCTTAAACATTGTGCAATCAAATTATTTTCCATTATCTGTGACAAACACTCTTGGGATTCCAAACCTGCAAATGATTGACCTCCAAGCAAAATTTCTTATGTTCGTCTCTATAATACTTGTTAGTGGTTCAGCTTCTATCCACTTGGTGAAGTAGTCTATAACCACAATGGCATACTGGACCTGGCCCTTTCCCATGGGCAATGGACCTATAAGGTCTATTCCCCATTGTGAGAAAGGCCGTGGACCCGTCATGGGAGTCAGCTCTTCAGGTGGTTGTTTTGGAACATTGGCAAACCGTTGACATTTATAACATTTTTTCACATAGTCCGTAGCATCCTTTTGTATAGTAGGCCAATAATACCTTTGTCGGATAGCTTTGTATGCTAAAGACCTGCCCCCAACGTGATTACCACAATCTCCTTCGTGTATCTCCTTTAGAATGTACCTTGCCTTCTCAGCTGAGATGCAACGCAGGTAGGGTAAAGAAAAACCCCTCTTGTACAGCACCCCTTTGATGAGGGTGTAACTTGCTGCTCGAATTTTAACTTTTCGGGCCTCATTTCTGTCTTTAAGAAGTTCTCCCTCCTTAATGTATTTTATGATAGGCTCTGCCTATCCCATGTTGAGCACCAACTGTTGTACCTCCTTTTGAACTTCTTGAAGTGTACTCGGCTTATCCAGGTACTCCAATGGTATTGCCCTGTTCACCTCTGGATCTAACGCGGTAGCCAATCTAGCTAGAGCATCTGCATTCGCGTTTTTTTCACGTGGGATCTGATGGACTGAAAATCTCGTGAAATGATTTTTTAATTCTTCTACCCTTTTTAAGTAGGCCTTCATTTTCTCATCTTTGGCTTTGTATTCTGCTCGGACTTGCCTTGCTATCAACTGAGAATCTGTGTATGCTATGAGCTGCTCCACCCCGAGGAGTTCTGCCAGTTTTAACCCAGCTATGAGGGCCTCATATTCTGCTTCGTTGTTTGTTGCTTTGAAGCTAAACCGAAGGGCATAGGCAATGTTTTCTCCTGCTGGGGAGGTGATGATCAACCCTGCTCCACTAGCATGTGCATTTGATGACCCATCAACAAATAGAGTCCAAGTAGCTTTTTTGTCCGTTTGAATCTGAGGGTTTGCTTCTGGGGAAATGTTGATCTGGTCTTCTTGGGAAGGTGTGAACTCAGCAACAAAATCTGCTATCACCTGAGCTTTTATTGCAGTCCGATGTCTATACTGGATGTCAAACTCTTCGAGTTCTATTGACCACTTCATAAGTTGACCTGAAGTCTCTGGCTTGTGGAGAACCTACCTCAGAGGTTGGTCCGTTAGTACCACTATCTTGTGAGATTGGAAATAAGGCCTGAGTTTCCTAGCTGACACAACTAAGGCAAATGCTAATTTCTCTATTTTTGGATATCTTTCCTCGGCACCCCTAAGTGCCCGACTTGTGTAATACACCGATTTCTGAACCCCATCCTCCTCTCGCATTAGAGTTGAACTTACTGCTGATGAGGAGACAGCCAAATATAAATACAAGTCCTCTCCTAGTATTGCTCTTGACAGAAGTGGTGGTGAGGAAAGGTATTCCTTTAATTATAGAAACGCCTGCTCACATTCTGGTGTCCATTCAAATGCTTTTTTGAGGGTACAAAAGAAAGGTAAACATCTGTCAGTTGCTCGAGAAATCAGCCTACTCAGGGCAGCAATCTTCCCCGTGAGTCGCTGGAGATCCTTCGTGGATTTGGGTGACCTCATATCTAGAACAGCTTGGATCTTTTCTGTATTAGCCTTTATTCCTCTTCTACTGACCATATACCCAAGGAATTTCCCTAAGGCAACTCCGAAAGCACACTTTCTGGGGTTGAGTTTCATCTTATACTTCCTCAACACTTCGAAAGTTTCCCGCAGGTCTGCTAGGTGATCTTCAGTTTTCCAACTTTTCACTAGCATGTTGTCCACGTAGACTTCCACGTTCCGTCCGATTTGCTGCTTGAACATCATGTTGACTAACCTTTGGTATGTTGCTCCTGCATTCTTTAACCCAAATGGCATGACCCTGTAACAATACAAACCCCGATCAGTAATAAATGAGGTTTTTTCTATATCCGATTGGTACATTGGAATCTGGTTATATCTAGAGTATGCATCCATGAAGCTCAGCAGTTCATGTCCCGCAGTTCCCTCCACTAGCATATCAATACGTGAGAGAGTAAAACTATCTTTTGGGCAGGCCTTGTTCAAGTCTGTAAAGTCTACGCATAATCTCCACTTCCCATTGGCTTTCTTTACGAGGACCACATTTGACAACCAGTCAAGATAATGTACCTCTTGAATAAAGTGAGCTCTCAAGAGTTTCTCCACCTCTTCCGATATAGCCTGGTTTTATTCAGAGGAAAATGTCCTTCTTTTCTGTTTGATGGGTTTAAAGTTGGGGTGAACATTCAAATGATGTTGTATTATGGCTGGACTTATGCCGGGCATGCCCTCGTAAGTTCAAGCGAACACATCCTGGTTTTGCTTGAGAAATTGAATGAGTTCACCCTTTATGCCAGGTTGAAGCAAGGATCCTATGCTCACTTTCTTCTTAGCCTCATCATCCAAGCTCACCTCCAGTATGTCTTCCATCGGTTCAGCTCGTTAAACTTTCTACTTTTCTACCTCCTCCTGGCCTCTTACCTCTAACCCTTCAATTATCATAGTTTCCTGGGACATCTTTTTTCTGAGAGAAGTGAGATAGCATTCCCGAGTGGTGGCTTGGTCACCCCTCAACTCACCCACCCCATGCTCTGTGGGAAATGCATGAGAATGTGGTAAGTTGAAGTAATGGCTCTAATAGAGTTTAGGGCTGTCCTCCCAAGAATAATGTTATACGCTAAAGGGCAATCCACCACTATAAAATCAACCATAAAAGTGACCTGCTTTAGGCTGGTTCTTGCAATCACTGGAAGGGTAACTGCTCCCAAAGGATACACCTTATCTCCTGAAAACCCCACGAGAGGAGAATTCATGGGTCGTAACCTTTCCCGGCCTATCATCATTTGGTCGAATACATGGGAAAATATTATATCAGCTGAACTCCCATTGTCAATAAGTATATGCCTTATGGTGTAGTTAGCTACGACCATGGAGACAACTAGAGGATCATCATGGTGTTGCTGGATCCCTTTAGCATTAGCCTCTAAAAACATAATGGTAGTATCAGCATACCTTAGTGTTTTTGATGGAGAGTTGAACATTCCCACCTCATTCACCTCTGCTCTTGCTCTTCTTGCATAAGTTTTTCGGGCGGTGGCTGTTTCACCTCCTCCTGCATACCCTCCGGATATGACTCTGATCTCACCTACTGGTTGTTGTTTTGGTGGATGATTGTCCCGCCTCCCTTGTGTGGGATTATTACCTCGTCTATTATCTCCCGCCATAAACCTTCGCAGGTGACCCCTTCAAATCAAATTCTCAATCTGATCTTTTAAGTTGATACAATCCTTCGTGATATGCCCATGATCTCTATGGAACCTGCAATATTTGTCTCGAGGCCTTCTTGAGGGATCAGATTTCAACTTCGATGGCCACTTCAGGGAGGGATCATCCTGAATCTGCATTAAAACCTGATCTATAGACATAGTGAGCGGGGTATAGTTGGTGTACTTATCTGAGCTCCTGTAATGAGATGTCCTTTCACTTTGATTAATTGAAGACTTTTTGAATTTGGTCTCCTTCTCGTCCTTGGCACCAGGCTGTGGTCTCTTTTTATCCGCCTTTTTATCTTCTCCTTCTTTCCATTTTGCGCACTCATTGCATCCTCCACATTCATGTGTTTCCTGGCTCTGACCAGTAATTCTGCCATACTGGTTGGAGGTTCCTTTGACAAGGAAAAAAGGAATCTAAATGTATGCAATCCTCCCATGAAGGTGGTGAGTGCTACCTTATCATCAGCTTCATCCACCTGCAGCATTTCGGTGTTGAACCGATTGATATATTCCCGTAATGGTTCTCCCTTCTGTTGTTTCATGGTGAAGAGGTGAGTGGTCGGCCTCCTGTGCCTTTGATCTACAATGAAATGACTTACAAATCCCTTGCTCAACTCTGCAAAGGTCTCGATCGAGCCTGGTTTTAATTTATTAAACCAGACCCGTGCCGACCCTTTGAGAGTGGTAGGAAAGGCCCGACACATTATCTGGTCTGGTACAGCTTGGAGATGTATAAGTGCCTGGAAAGTCTCGAAGTGATCAAGAGGATCACGAGTCCCATCAAAGCTTTCAAGTGTTGGCATCTTGAACTTGCTAGGCAATGGAAATCTCATGATAGTCGGGCTAAATGGCAAATTTGTTTTTTAAATAAGGTCGTCTATGGTGGTAGCGGAGCCTTTTGCCTTCATAGCTTGCATCACATCTTCCATCTTGGCATTGAGGTTCTGGATCTGTTGGTCGATGTGGGTGACCTTCTCAGTTCGTTCACCAACGTAGGTAGAGATCAATGGCCTAGAGCTATGTGGGGGAGATGGGTGACCTGCCACCCTATGTTGATTAGCAATTTGGCTATGCTCTGCAAGAGCCTCCTCATGGGAAGGCTTGTTACCTTGCACCTCATGATTTCCCTCCTCAGCATTTAGGTTGGGCTGATCTTGAGGTGGGATTTCGTTATGGTGATGACCTTGCCCTTGAGGTGGGTTTGGGGGAACAAAATGTTGTAGGATCATCGCATTTTGCCGAATTAGCTCATTCATTCCCTGATTCAGGGTTTGAATTTGCTGTTCCAACACTACGACGCGCTCTAAGTCATTTGGTATGTGAAGGGGTTCCCCCTACACTTCCTCCTCACTAGAGGCCTGCAACGATGTTCCCTCACCGCGCTGAAATCCGGATCGTAAGACCATAATCCTTTTTTAAAAAGAATTATCCCAAGTTTCCCACAGACGGCGCCAACCGATGAAGATTGGTCTGCAACGATCCGAAACGACGACGTTTTCTCTTGACACCGGTGTGGTGCCTGCCAAAGGAGCTCCGACGGCTAAGTCAGTTTACAGACGAAAATAAAAATAAGTAAATCATGAAGTGAAGTTTAATATTGCACGTACCCCCTTTAGTTGACGGGAGTCTATTTTTAATAGCTCATTGAGCCGAGTGTTTGTTGCAATCTTTAAGGAGAGGTTTTGTCGGTAATTTGAATTTCATATAATCAGATCAAAACAACCTTTCGAATCTTATCACCTCATCACCTTATCATCTTATCCTCTTTCATTGATTTCCTCATCAGTATGTATATGTGATCATAATTTTTATAATTCAAAGACAATACACACTTATATATCATGTAAATTTATGGCAATAAATAATTTAAAAACATATATATATATATATATATATATGTATATGACAATAAACACACGTAATTGTAATAATTGTATTGTAATAATTGTAATATCAATTTATATATATATATATATATATATATATATAATATAACAATCTGTATGGTAACAATAATTTATTTTTGTCCCCTCCCATAAATAATAATAATAATAATAATAATAATAATAAATTTCTATATTTAAACTCAAAAAATTGTTTATATTATTTTTGAGCCCATGTGCATGCATGACATGCTCCATTAAGCATAATCTAAATAACCAAAGTTTTAACTCATGGGTGCAATCAACTATCACATTCTCCACAATAACCTTGAAGATTTCCTAAAACATGACATGGTTTCTGATATTGATGGGACATAATTATTTTTAGAGCTAAGAGAGAAGCTTTACTAAGAAGAACAAAAAAGACAATTGAGGTATTGAATGTTATAAAAAGGCTAGGTTATTGTTTTCCAAATGCTTGGAATACATATAGAGTATTATTAACTATCCCAGTTACAGTTGCATTTTCTGAGAAAAACTTTTCAAAGTTAAAGTTGATCAAATCTTATTTATGGTAGACGATATATTAGAGAAACTTAATTGAAGCATTTTAATTAACAATTTTGCAGCTCAAAATGCAAGACGATCACATTTATTTTGATATGAAGTTAAATTTTGATTTTTGTAATTAAGTTGTGTTGAATATTTCTTTTAATTTAATATTATCTACAGTCAACGATAGGAGGTAATGACGTTCCTCACTGAGGGCACGTTGCTCCACATGTTCAACCTAGGTATTTAAGCCTCTTTGCTGCAAATTTAGAAGGAAATAAATTTGTTTTAAATTCAAGAAATTTATATATGGAATTAAAGACCATAACTTCACAAACAAAGGGCACTCGTTAGAATCATTAAGATCAGGAACTTTGGCTACACCAAAACTCTTGGGCACGATGAAGTCCTGGGAAGAGGAAGAACGTCAGATGCCCTTCACTCGAACAATTTTCTCTTTTCAGAATTTTTTTGAAAAATTTTTCCCATTACATATAGCCTTATTAGTCTTAAAAAACAAAGTGGTAGTGGCCCTCTACTTCTCGGATTCTGTTTACTAAGTAGCAAGTCAACAAGTTAGCAACCCCTAAACGTAAATTCCGAATTTGGTTCAAAGCTAGAAGGCATAGTAGGATCCTGAACAAATTTTAATTAACCGAAGAGGGGCTAGTTTAATGGTGAAAAGAACATGAAGATAGAATGTATTTAGGGAAAACTTAAATGTAGAAAGGTAAAAAGTAGAGTAGAGCATCTAATATTCACCAACTTCTTCCCTAAAGCTAAAATTAAGGTGATGAGGGTACTTTTCCATATCAACACTCTTAGAACCTTGTGTTTCCTCCTCAATTGATAAATAGAAAATATTTCCTGTCTATTATGTTAATATCAATGACTATGGGGCCTTCATCTCTCACAACTTCCAATCCTCCGTCAGTTTGATTCTGGGGTTCAGATTTAGTAACTCTATTACTAACGATAATGTGTACTACTATCCTCAATCATTATTAAAGTAAGAAAGAAATTAAATTGAAGGAAACAAGGTTCTTAAAGGATGCATTAGGGTTCTTGTGACTAGCTAAACGTTGCGCAAGGCCTTTGTCACTTGAAAGTATAAGTAGAGATGAAGTCTCTTTCTAATAAAAAAGAAGAATTAGTAATAACGGCGGTTGGCACATACCTCCATAATGCGGATTTTGACGGAAGCAGTTATGGGCATAAACAATATAAACCTCTTCACTTTTATGGTAGTTAAAATGAAATTCTTTCTATGTATTTCATCAAAAGAAGGAATTAAGGGCAAAGTGTGGAGGAAAAACTTCTATTAATCAGAATGTGACATTAGAGCCAAAAAAGCACCAATCGCAACGAGACATGTGTCTCTGTAAAGGTAATTAAGAAGAATAGAGAGTTTGATCCATTTAGAGGAAATGGGCCGATTGACCCGACGAAAAAAGAAGTGCATGTTCTGTACCAATGGGCTAGCAAAATCATGCCAAACGGAAAGAAAAGGTTTAGCAGCCCAAGTGAAGTACCTCTAGCATTAGGAAAAGATTATGCAAGATAAGGAAAAAAATTTATGAATATGGAAATAACTTGTATAGCAAGGGATGAGTCCTAAAAGGACTCAACTAAGGTTTGGAATCTATAAATAAGGGTTTAAGACCCCAATGAAATGATAAGCAATTTGAAATACGAATTACTATTCTTTTTATTCTTTTCCCATTTTTCTGTGTTATTTTATTGAGTGTTTGAGACAAGGATTTTTGCTTTTACAGTTTCTCATTTAGCATAATTTTTTTGCACCTACAATAACAAAACAAGTATTCTTGCATTTCAAATCATGCATATGACTGAATAAAATTTTGGGCTAAAAACATAAAACCCCCTCTGTTATTTACAAAAACTATCTACTAACCCCCTCAATTGCATAAATTATCATATTACCCCTTCATGTTTTTAAATATATCATATCACCCCCTCCCCGTTAGTTGACCGTTTAAAATTAATGGGATATTATCAGGTCACCTTCACGTGCACCATATATTGCATTATTATGATCAAAATACCCTTGTTCTCTCGAAATGACGAAATTTTCCTTTTGAGTATTTACTTCAATTTTGTTATATTCTCTTCTTCTCTCTCGTTGAAGTGATGTGAGGATTCCTCCACAGTATGGCAGCAGCAACATATCGAATGAAGTCCCCCCAATTGATGAATTGAAGCCCTAATTGATCGATTGAAGTCCCCAATTAGTTATTTGAAGCCCTAAATCGCAGCCAATTTCAGCCCTAAAATGATTATTTGAAGCCCAAAACCATAATTAGCCAAAGCCCAAATGTCTTCTTCCACCACACAACCTATTAATCGGTAAGATCTCAGGTATAACAACATAATACTTGAGTATTTACTTCAGTTTTGATTATTTAATTTGGTTTTGTTATCTTCTCTTCTTCTCTGTCATTTAAGTGGTGTGAGGATTTCTTAATAGCAGCAGTAACAGGAGTATTTGAAGCCCTAAACCGTAATCAGTCGAAGCCCAAATGTCTTCTTCCACCACACCACAATCTATTGATCGGCAAGATATCAGGTATAACAACATAATATGTGGTTGTGGCTATCCAATTGTTATCGGAGTGACAGGTTCAGATGAGTATAACAACAAAAGGAAGATATACTATTCTTGCGGTACAAAAAAATACTCTTTATGGACATGGTGTGATCTAATTTGGACAATGCTAGCATATACTGAAGCATATGAAAACAAGTTTAGTGGAGGTGAAATTGCTGAATTGAAGTTCTGGTATGATATAGTTAGTTTTTGTTTGGAAGCCATGGAAAAAAGTATGGAAGAAATCAAAAAAAAAAAAAAAAAAAAAATCTGAAGCAATTAGTTGTAGCATTTGTTATGTTCTTTGTTGTTGCATGTTTGATAGCTTTAGGAAGAAAGTAGTGAGTTGGTTTTAATTTATATGAGCCTGTGTGTATGCAAAATGTATTATGAAGCCCTATGAAGTGTGTATGCAATGTATTTTCTAAATTGCCAAGTGCATGAGTAAAAATGTATTTTCAAGTGAAATTGTAGAATTGAAAGTGTTGTTGTCTTGTGTTTATGTGCATTTCGAATTGCATGAACAAAATGTAAGTGAAAAAATTGAAAAGGAAAAGTGCATTTGAGGGAAAGTTGCATGTACAAAATCAAAGTGATAAGTGCACGAGTAAAGTTGCATTTCCAAGTGCATTGTGCATTTGAGGTAAGGTTTGCATTTTGAGGAAAAGTGCATGTTGAGAAAAAGAGCATTGGACTTGCAATGTGTATGTAAAGTGTTGAAAAAGGCCATAATGAGTGTGCAACTTTTCCTCAACTGCACTTTTTTCAAAGTGCTGAAATTGGACCATAA